AATTAAAATAATTTTGATGGAATTACAAGTCTTTTAAAAAATAAAAATTTATATAATTACAATATACGAAAATCGGTACAAAAGTGATACCTCCAATTTTGTTTCTCAGAAAATTTAATTCCTACAATATGATGTAATCTTCAGTCATTAACAAACATTCAGTTATTTTTTCACAAAATCACCATCATTTTGCATGCATTTTTGCCATCTTTGAATCAGACGCCATATTCCAGACTCGTCAAATTTTTTGCTGCGACTCTTGAGAGCTTCACAAACAAATTCTTTTTCTCAGAAAATTTAATTCCTACAATTGATTTTTACATGAAGTAATCTTCAGTAATTAACAAACATTCAGTTATTTTTCCACAAAGTCACTATTAAGAAAAAAGTTTGTGAAGTCCTCGAGAGTCGTAGCAAGGAATTTAACGGGTCTGAAATATAGCGCCTGATTCAAAGATGGTAAAAGAGCATACAAAATAATGGTGACTTTGTAAAAAAAATAACTGAATGTTTGTTAATGACTGAAGATTATACCATGTAAAAACCATAGTTGTAGGAATTAAATTTTCTATGAAAAAAAATTGGAGGCATTACTTTCGTTCCGACCTTCGTATTATTTTTGACATCAATATATGTCAAAATTTAAATATGCAAATAATGGAATGAAATCGGTTGAAGTAAGGAGTAAAATAGGAGTAAGATTTCATTGGATGGATTGGCAACATTAATTTATTGCTAAGTTATATAAGAAAAATTTGAGAAAGCAAAATATAAATATAACTTATGTAATCTAGAAATAATAATTATGGAATGTAGTGAGATAAAAATTACAATTCTAAAATGTGCTTTTTTTTGAAATGTCAATAACTTCGCAGTATATATACATATCATTATATATTAAGTATATTACATATCATTATATCATTATATCAACATTTAAAAAATATTTATGATTAACGAGTGCTTTATTGCAAGTAAATTATCCAACATAATATCATACATTTTAATCGGTATGTGTTGATGCTAGTTATGAGATACTAGTTACGTGTTGATTTTATATATTCTCGGAATTCATAATTAACAGTATGCACGGGACAGTATATTACGCTACGCTTACGATTGCACTCTTTTATATAATAATTAAATAAATGATACATTTTTTAAAAGAAACTGTCAAAATTTAAAAAGCGATCATCAATTTTGTTTTTTCTCTCACGTATTTTCAAGTAAAATATACAAAAATAGTATAAATTGCTGAAAATACTTTTGCACTCCGAAATTAAAGTAATATTATACTGGAATTGTTTTTAATGACATTATTAATCAGGATCGATTTATCCCGCAGTAGTAGTAAGTTTTACTCAATTTTGCCATCAATCATGTCGACTGTCACTGTAAATTTGCATTTAAACTTGTTGCATGATATAAGATTCATGATATAATATACTTAGTAGCTATTTAAGCAACTTCGAAATACTATGCATATTAGAATGATAGCAAAGAGTGGCGTGTGGAAAGTTTATACTAATAAATTCATTTGATAAATTAAATCTCTAGTTAAATTGATGAATTAATTTTATGTTGCTTATAATTTTAGGAAAAATATATCAAGTATTAGCAAACTTCAAATAAATTTGGTTAATGTTTATGGAAACAACTAACAAAAAAACAACTTCGGTTATAATCTAGCCAAAATAATTTAATTATTTATTACTGTTTTATATAACTTTCACTATCAACGCGCGCTTAATCCGACGCAATCATAATAATCGTATCGTTAGAAAACGCGAATCATCGCTCGTATACTAAAAGAGTATTCGAACGTAATCGAAATGGTACGCACCGATATTACTGGGTGCAAATTGTTTTGTTCATAATAAAAATATCATTTCCGCGAAAGCGAAAGTTCATGATTTCATCCCCAGTATCACGTAATCCTCCCTTCTCAAATAGTATAATTTTAATAATTGCAATTGGGCTCGTCACTTTCTAATGCCGACCGAATAGCTTCTTTTTTGTCTTTAGAGTTCAATTGTAAAATTGTAAATTATTTGCAATTGTGCTATATATTATATATATAACAACATATTTATATTTATCAGAATCGCTAAGAAAACATTTTCATAACTTGAATGTCTTACTATATGATCGACATATTTACATATGCAGTTCAATGACGGTATCCTCTTTTGATTTAAAATGGTAGAAACTAGGAAGTAATATTTTCTTGATGGAACAAGCAACCGGATGTGGATGCAGCTTATGAGAATATAACGCTTAAAATCAAAAGAGCGACAATATTTAAAATAAATAGTATGTATTTTAAGTGTTTTAACACTAATGTTTCCTTCAACATTTTTACGGTAACAACGTTTTCTCGGTATAACATAGCGGAACCTTTCACCTTTCATTGCGCATGAAGTTCGTGAAATTCACGAATACCGCAATGATGATACACGTCGCAGACTTACAGAGGGTGAAAGTAGTGACGCCGGTAAAGGTGTTTTCCGGTGAGGTCGTCGAGCGCGCGTTGTTTCACGAGTGTAATCATGATTGTCGACGATTACTGAGAAACCATCAATCAGGAATAACAAAGCAGCTCGCGTGTTTGCACACAAAAACTGCCGCTCGTTTATTTTCCTTTGGTATTCGCACCGATACTTTTACGATGATTTCCCCTAAATTGCGGATATGTGATTATCGCAAGAATGAAATGCGAGAAGGTAAACCCTGACCTACTTAAGACTGCTATTTGAGCGGTTGTCAGATTCTCTCGTAAGGAATCTCGTAAGAGTTCTTGCTTGTGAAAAAAATTCATGCACAGAAAAAGAGGAATTATTTAAAAAATAAAAATTTTCGAATAGATTAGATTCGCATCAAAAATCAAGCAGTAAAAAATTAAGATAAAAAAATCATATTTTTGCAATACACATATATGCACACGATCATGTGTGCGTGCTTGCCGAATATGCAGAAAGTGGTATTGACCGAGGAAAATGAAATATTGGAGGCGCGACTCGTGCGTTGCGTCGAGTCACGTCGACCTTTTCCTTGTGAAACCGGCACGTTTGATCCGCTCTTTGTTATGTCGCTAAAAGTGAAACCTTGCGATGAAAGTAGGCAAATTGGGGAGAGGGGAGTGACCGGAAAACGGACGCTGTTTAGTGAAAACGTTCCTGACTAGTTCATCAACATGACTTTAACGATGTCCTATTTCTTCGACGAATGTAGGTCACAGCATCGACAAAGCGTTTCTCAAATATTCAATATTAGTTAAACTCTTTGACAGACTGATATGTACAGTACTGAATACATTTTTACTTTTTTAAGGAAAACTATAAAATAGGCCATTATTTGGTTAATCCTACAATATTAAATATTAAGTATCTTGTTCAAATGTCTAATTGTGCATTTTAATTGAAAAAGAAAAAGAATTTTAACTCGATGAAGAAAACTGCTATTAAAGTAACGACGGACGATTTTCGATTTCGTGACATTTTATGTGAGCACTTTGTTCCCACAATCATGATGCAATTGGAAGGGATCGTTCGAATAATTCACATCTCACCAAATGATTTAGCACGATTATCTACAGTGCAATGTAATGTAGAAAGCTGCATGAGGGAGAAAGTTGCAATGCATAGGAAGTTACATACATGTGGCGCGCGCGCACCGAGTCATTTGGTGCGAAAACGCAGAGCGCGTGATCTAATAAGATCAAAAATCAAACATCAATGCTTAACGTAACGTAATTGATTATATAAAGTTATATATATTGTTATTAAATACTCGTTATGAAAGAGCGAAAAGAGAAATATAATATATAATTATGTAATGAGTGCGTAGAAAGACGATATTAGTTAAACTATAAAGGTTTTAAATTTCTTCACAATTTAAGATATAGCGAGCCCCACTTTCTATCAATCTATTTGGAGATGCAAGTTATAAAAGTCTTTCGCATAACTGTATTTAATTGTAGTCATATTGTGCCGTTCAATAAAATGACATTGCAATTTTTATTTTTTTAGTCATTAGAGATAAAAGTAACACAAAGAAGTGTCGTGAACAAAGAGCAAAAAGTGAATAAAACATTGATAATACGTATTTATTATCTTTTTTATAATAATTGTTGTTGAATGAAGCTAAAGATATGTGCTAGAAAAACTTACTTACGAGATAAACAAGAAAGTAAAGCTTCTATATATGAAGGATATCCTTGTTACTGTAGAAAAAAATTTAATTGTGATTGTATTGTACGAACATTTCGAATGTTATAAATTAAGAATTTATATTTTGTCTAAGAATTACGAACTTTTATTGTTCTTTTTTATAAAAGAATTTATTAATAGATAATAAAACAGATAATAAAATCCTTTTTAAAATTTGCAAAATTATCAAACAAATTGCATTGAATTAACTGACAAAAATTTAGTCAAAATTTCATAACTGCTCTTAAAGATTCCGAGTAACAGCTCTTGTACAAAGTTATGATCCACGTATATTATGTTTATAACTATTGCTACTAAAATGTCACTCATAAACTTTCTATTAGTATAATAAATTTTTACATAAACGATGTAGCACAATTTTGCAATGCACGTCAAACAAAGAGAAACGCACCGACAACTAACTGTTGAAATACATAATTGATAGTTTTATTCATGCAATATAAGAGAGAATTTAAATATAAAAATTTAAAAAATTATTATATATAATAGATGTAATATAAACTATTTACATAAAAGGTCTAGAATAATTTTGTTTATATTTTAGAGTAATTGCATAGAAATAAAAAACTTAAAAAATTTTGGATATATTAGTTTCATTGACAATTTTTAAATATTATTGTGCTTTATCATCTGCACTTATCGAAACATTTATTAAAAATAAAATATCTTTTTATTTATAAAAAAATATTAATAAAGTTTTATAAATTAAATATAAAAGTAGAGTTAAAATACAATACATTTGAATAGCATGATATAGACAGAAAGGCTTACCTTTAAGCGCCCATAATTCTTCCTTCTTCAAAGCATCGACGTACGTCGTGATGTCTTTATCGCATTGTACTCCGATGTTGTGCTTTCTTTCGACCCAATTTCTTATTAAATTACGCGCACTGAAAACATCCAGCATATCGGACAGGCTGGTCCAGTTTTTTTCGGGCACATTGATTGTCGCTGGTAAGCTTCTAATTCGAAGTATCGGTTCTTCTACGTTCGGAATATCGGTAGATATTTCCTCGGCGGAGATCGCGGAAAGTATAAGTAAAGTGAGTAACGGCAAACGCATTGCGCTCTTCATTTTTATCTATCAAATGTTCACAGAAAAAATTTACGACGCGTTTATAGAAAATTTGTGTGAGATCACTGATCACGTATTTACATTATTGGCGACTTAGACAGATCTTTGGAATTGATTGTCAAGAAAAATTTTTTTTTGTTCTATCTCTCAATCTTTGTAATTTGTTCTAAGGAATCAAAATTACCAAAATATTTGAAAAATGAGCAATTAAACTGTCCTCTGTCCTCTGTCCTCTGAGCAATTAAAAATCCTCTGTCAGGATGTTCGTGACATTGTCAAGAGTATCACTGTATTACTTCTCGTACTTGTTGCAACACAATTGGACAATTTGATCTATGTTAATCACGCTACTCGATAATCTGACGCACAATTTTGCGAAATTGTTACGTAAATTTTGGTATTTGTATTTCTAAAACAATTGTTAAAAAATCTTTATAATGCAGCTTTCTTAAGCTCATGGTAACTTTGAGCAATTAATGTTTCCGTTTAAACTGTTTCCAAGAAATAAGAGGAGAAAAAGAATATAAAAGATAATCGACTTCAGGTGGATCCTTCTTCCCTGCTGGATGATCACGGATCAACTGTATCGCACGAGTGGGTTGTAGCCCGACCAATGCTTTTGAAATGTCTTGTGGTACCGGAGACGTAATGAAGAGGATGGTGGGGCGGAGTCTTCCTGTTAAGTGAAAACTAAAATCTGGGACTGGCTGGTACGCGCAAGACGATGTAAATTCGATGACAGGTAAATTCGTATATGTTTCGGGTTTGTAAATACGCGATCTACGCCGAAGAAATATCATCAACGAGAGACATTTTTTTTTAGTTTATTTAATTCTACGATATTTTCTTAAAATAATTGAAAAAGGTGTGTATCATATCAGATATGCCTATGTATATGTACTATTCTTTAGACATAATGTAGAATATGCGCATAAAATTCTTTTTAAATAAAAAATTCAGGAATTTGTTTCTAAAACTGATAAAAATGCTTCAATACTTTCAACGCTCTTCACTTGCTCTTACAATTAGTAAAACCATTAAAGCTCAATCTAAATTTTACATGATATAATCTTATTACCTTATATCAGCTCATTGTATCATTATTGTGCAGTAATTAAATATTATATATACAACAATATTAATATTATTACAATTTTTAACAATTCTTAACTTTTTATATAAAAATTTATCAATATTTTTTAAAAGTTATTTCTAGGTTTCAATATATTTATAAGTGTAAAATAATAACTCATGTTATAACATCCCCCATAGCAAAACAAATCACAGTGATATCATAATGATATTTCTCTGTGACGCTTAAATATGTCATAATGAAATCATAATAAAGTCATGGTGACATGCGAATGTCCGCTTTATCACAGATATAATTTGCTATGACATCATTGTGATATGAAAAATAAAATAAAAATAAAAATATAAAATAAAAAATAGATATATATATATATAAAATATAAAATTTTAAAAAATGAAAAAAGAAACAACGAAAGGAACCAAAATGCCGCCATGTCCACGTCAGTGGTTCTGGGTAACGCAAAGAGCGGGTTTTATTAAATAAGAGAAATGAAATAAAATATGCATTATAAATGATGATAACTGTGAAGTCCGATTAGCAAAACTTACATTTTTTATTTTTTTTGTACTGCAACGTTCAATGATTTGACGACATTTTGCCATTAGGAAAAGTTGTTACACTCGATTAGCACAATCCGACACAATTTGTAAAAATTCGAAAAAGTCAAATTTCAATTCCACCCTCATCTCTTTTCTGTAATATTTAATCAAAGGTTATCGATACTTTCCTTGCTAGTTTTTTGTTCGCCTCGATTAGCACAATTCAGCACAAGTCGCAGAATTCGGCTATCTGCTATAATTCGAAAGTTACATGGGTTTAAAATTTATAATTCCTAATTCCACGTTTCTAATTTCGGCTGTACCGCGAAATTCAATAATCTGACGACATTTTTTCATAAGAAAAAGTTCTTGTGCTAGCCTAGCACAACTCAGCACAAACATTGAAATTGTCAAAATAATAAATTTCAAAAATGGTTGTATAAACAATTATCCACAGATTTTGCAAAAAACTATTTAGATCATTTTGTTATTAGAAAAAGTTGTTGTGCTAGGCCAGTACGACAACTTTTCCCAACGAGAATAATTGATAAAATCAGTTTTTCAATCGTACTGGACCCAATTTGCTTGTGCATAAAAAAACTTTTCTCCGTTTTCAAAGAGAACCATAGGTCGTGGTCGATTTTTGTTTATAACACAAACCGGCATAAACATAGCACAATTCGGCACAATTAAGAAAAATATAAAATTTGAAAAGTGCAGGGCTAGTAAAAATTTGATTTTTTTTGTTTTCTACGATGTGGTTTGAGTTATCGATTTCGCGTTTACGGCACAAACCGGCACAAACATAGCACAATTCGGCACAATTAAGAAAAATATAAAATTCAAAAAATGCAGCGCTAGTAAAAATTTGATTTTTTTTGTTTTCTACGGTATGGTTTGAGTTATCAATTTCGCATTTACGGCATAAATCGGCACAAACATAGCACAATTCGGCATAATTAAGAAAAATATAAAATTTGAAAAGTGCTGAGCTAACTTCACACACACGTCTGTTTTACCGACTACGTTTCAATTTTGTAAATTCCATGGATTTTTTTATTGCTTCAACAGAATCACAAATTTTTTTATGTGATTAAAGTACATATGCTAATACATCGGTGAGTATAAGATTTTAAACAAAAAAGATTAAAAAATTTGGAAATTTTATCGACAAGTTGTCGGTGTATACAAATATTAGTTTTATACAAAATTTATACAGTTTGCAGATGCAAAACAAACGTTGTGGCCGAAGAAGAGTATATCAAAGATTGCTAGGAAACCATTAAAATTAAGTTCAGAGATGTAATCTTAAAAAACTATCTCATTTAGAATTTATGCAAAGTATGTGTGCAATATAGACGATAATAAGGTAAAAAAGAGCTATAGATTAGTTCCTAAATTATGATCTAGAGGCGCTATACAGTTCTTAGTGCTATCTGTCATATACATCAGAATCTTTTAGGTTAATTATGTGTGTGTTAGTTGTGTGTGTGTATTATGTGCTAGGAAACCCCAAGATCTATAGAGAGAAGGTTACCTCAGGCAAACCGGTTGTGGGCGAGGGACAATGAAGTAAGGGGGGAGCTAGAACAGCTTGTCGGCGAGGGGCGACGAAGTAAGGGGGGAGCTAGAAACAGCTTGTAGGCGAGGGGCGACGAAGGAAGGGGAGAGCATGATGATCTCATCGTCAAACAGTAGCTGTCTCTCTCGCACGCTTTAGTGTTTTCTCTCTCGCTCCTTTAATATAGAAATGCTTTGAGTTTTTATCGAAAAAATACTTTTATTTTGTAAAACATTGATAGCACTGGAAATTGCGTAATAAAAATTGAAAAGTAAATTAGAAAGGCGCTATAAATTACATATATTGCAAATTATAGCGCTAGATATTTAACGTTTATAATGTTAAATATCGCTGCAACAGATGCATTTGTAATACAAATTGCTTTGTACTCGTATTTAGACTGTAATATCAATGAAAATAAAATATAATTTGGGGATATACACAAAAAACATCATTTGTAAAGTAGTAAAATAAAAGAAAAAATAGTACATATTTAAAAATTATTTTTAAAATAATATATACTGTTTATATGCATTATTTACAAAAGAAATACTATAAAGAAATTATTTTTATATTTAATTGTGAAAACCTCAAAAATTGTCAAGAAATTGTAACTGAAATTCATGAATGTAAGTACAATTCTAGGATAATATAAAAAGCATCATACACAAATTTATTATGATACAAACTTAGATAATGAAATTGTAATATATGTTTCAACATTGCAAATGTGAATATTTATATGATAAAATTTACAAAGTGTTAACAATTTTCAAATATTTGCTAATAAAATATTATTGAAATGTTTCTGTTAAAATCTTAAAATAATTCTTTAAAACAAATATGATGGAGTATATATTAGGGATCATTAAATATGCGGCAACATTGTGATTATAAAATTTTATAAGTATCTATAATAAAATTAAGTATAATAAATATAATAAGTATATAAGTATAATAATAAAATTTTTATAAGTATCTATAATAATAAAAATACATATATGTTGTATTAATCTGTTAATATAAAGAAATTTATTTGCGTTAAATTAATTAATAATTTTTTATATTAACAGATTAATACAACATATATTTATTTTTATTATTATAGATACTTATAAAAATTTTATTATTATACTTATATACTTATTATATTTATTATACTTAATTTTATTATACTTATAAAATTTTATAATCACAATGTTGCCGCATATTTAATGATCCCTAATATATACCCCATCATATTTGTTTTGAAGAATTATTTTAAGATTTCAACAGAAACATTTCAATAATATTTTATTAGCAAATATTTGAAAATTGTTAACACTTTGTAAATTTATCATATAAATATTCACATGTGCAATGTTGAAACATATATTACAATTTA